AGCAAGGAGAACCTGGGAAGGAGAACAGGTAAGACAGAGAGAGGGATTTTGGGCAAGCAGGCGGAAAGCCTCAACATATGGAATCTCTTTCCACTTTCTCAGGTGCTGGCAGTAGTTAAAAGGTCCCGGAGAATGTCAGGATCGAGTGTGCCCTCAGGGGTCCACTTATTTTGGTTATCTAAGGGATAATAAGGCCAATCTTGTGTGCAAAATTTGGTGAGGAGTTTGGGCTTAATGTCAGGCTTGAGGGATAGGGTGGTGAGGTTGTTTAAGAGACATTGTAAGGGTGAATCACCCCGGAGGGAGGAGGCAGAAGCTCCCATTCTGAAAAGGGGTTTTGGAGGAGAGAAGTCAGAGGAGGATTAAAGATGAGCCCTTCGGCTGGATGAGAGAAACGGGACTCAGAGGGCGTCCCCAGTGAGTCGTGCCAATCTCAGGGAGTGGTTCAATAAAGAACCTGGAGAGAAGGGGGTGTAGGTCATCACCTAGACCCTCACTTCCCTGAGGCGACTGTGCCTGGAGCCGGAAGGGACCTAGTGCTAGGGTTTTTGGCAAACAACGGAGGTCCAGGACCTGGAAGGAGGAAGGTTGGAGAGGAGTGAGAGAGAGAGAGAGAGAGGAATGGGAGGTTCAGCCTCTGGGGCCAGGAACGTGTCAATGCCAGGGCCGGGGGAATGTGATTAGGGTGAAGGTTTAAATAATCTACCAGGCTGACAAAAGGAAAAAAGGGGCTTACCTAACGGATGAGCCGGTGGTGGATGAAGGAAGCCAGCATTGGAGAAAATGGAGGAGGGCGGACCGTCAGTCCCGGGGGGGTCGCGGAGGGGTCCGAGGAAGGAGTCCCCTGGTGCGGGGTGAACTCCTCCCAGGTTTCGGCACCAATGAAAGGGCGCACAGACCCGAGCTGACAGTTCACCAGAGAAGTTCCACTTTATTCAAGGACTGCATGTATATTTATAGGGAGCTGTGTTCCGGGTTTTGATAGGGGGTGAACGGGGCGGTAGCTGATTGGACGGGGCTGGGCAGGTGAGCCTTGACCTGTGACTGGTTGAGGTCTGGCACCGGCGGGCTTCTACTATGGAGAAGAACCCAGAAGGGCGCCATATTGCTAGGGAATGCTTTTCCCCTCCCCCTCCACTTGAGTGCCCACGGTATCCTTACAGATATGGTTTCAGATTCTACATTGCAACTAATCTTTGAGATAGTATAATATCTCAAAGAGTTTTGGTATAATATCAAAGAAGACTATCCAGAATGATCTGAAAAGGCTATTATAATACTCTTTCCAACTATATATCTAGTAAGACCAGATTCCTCATATATTTTAACCAAACCAACATATTACAACAGATTAAATGCAGAAGCAGATTTGAGAATCCAGCTATCTTCTGTCAAGCCAAAGGCCATAAATTTGTAAAAATGTAAAGTAATGCCGTTCTTTTCTTTAGATTTGTTTATTTTAGAAAATATAGTTGTTTTCATTTAAAGTATGTTATTTATATTAACATGTAATAGATATATTATTGATGTTTTTAATTAATTAAAAATTAAATATTTTTTGGGCCGGCCCGGTGGCGCACTGGATAGTGCGCCGCTTGGGAAGCGCGGCGGCGCTCCCGCCCGAGGGTTCGGATCCCACATACAGACCGGTTCCCGCTCACTGGCTGAGTGAGGCGCGGGAGCAACACCGAGGGTTGCGATCCCGTTGCTGGTCCCCGGTCCGGTACGGGGGCAACACTGAGGGTTGCGATCCATTGCCGGACACAGACAAAAGACAAAAAAAAAAAATTAAATATTTTTTAAATCTTAAAAAAAATAATAAATAATAAAAAAAATTAAATATTTTTAATTTTTTAGTGTTTTTTTTTTTAAAGATGACCAGTAAGGTGAACTTAACCCTTGGCTTGGTATTGTCAGCACCATGCTCAGCCAGTGAGCAAACTGGCCATCCCTATATAGGATCTGAACCCATGACCTTGGAGTCATCAGCACCGCACTCTCCTGAGTGAGCCATGGGCTGGCCCTAGTTTTATTTTCTAATACAGTAGATATTGTATCCACACTAACAAAAGTTGGTTGAGGTCCTTAGAAATTTTTAAGAGTGTGGAGTAGTCCTGAGAAAACTGTTGGTGGTGCTGTGGGTGTTGCATCAACCCTTCGTTTGCTGTTTGTCGAGGTCATCTTCTTTCTATAGAATCGGTATCAACATCTAGCTAAGCCAACACATGGCAGTTCTAATTCCATCTTCTCCCTCACACTTGCCAAAACATGTGAGACTGTATGCCTGAAGGACCCATTGGAATTTTTTAATGTAAGTAGAGGGGTTGGTGGTGAAGGACCCTAATCTCTTTTCCAGCTGGGCGAGATCGGCTAATGAAAAGGGAACGTGTACCCTAACAACCCCCTCAGCTCCAGCCACGTCTATTTTTTTTTTTTTTTTTAACCACGGTCATCGGAACCACTGACTGATCAAATGGGGCCAAGTCATATTCCTATAGAGCCCAGAAATAGCTACACAGTATGAAAGACAAAGGAAATGTACCAGACTTTAATGAAAACAGCCCATTTCTGTTTCTTCAAATGAAACCTCACAACTTTAGGGTCAATAAGTCATTTTACAACTGTTGTTTAGGAAATAAGGAGTTCCCACTAGCAATGCAGGTTGTCATAGATCCTGACAAAAACAGTACTTGGAACAATGTAAAAATCCAGTGACAGCTGTTAAACTCCATGTGTTTGACTACAGCCCCTGAAGAGGACCATACTAAATGTATCCCAGCAGTCTGCTTTAAAGATCACAGCATTTTGAACGTCCTAGATTTTGCTCCTGGAGAGCTCCCATTCTAGTAGGAGGTCCTCAGGTTTAGGGTGTACTTTAGGCATTCATCCTTCATCTGCTAACAAGTTTCTGAAAGCCCTCCTTTAAACAATCAAAAAGAAGAAACAGTTACAGTACTGCCAACCAAGTTCTTAAAAACTGCTGGACCAGTTTATAAAACCCGTTTGGTGCTGTTAAAGGAAAAACAGCAACCCCCAATCATCAAGCTGAGAGTTTTATTCTCAGGACCAAGTAAGTAGTGCTGCCTTGCATTAGGATTTTGTAAGGCGGTGCTCCTTAACCCTGGCTGTGCATCACAATCACTTGTGCCCTTTTTTAAAGTACAGGTTCTTTCCCACTCAGACCTACTAAATCAGACTCTGATGGGTGGGTGGTTGAGTAGAGAGGTGCTTTGGTTGCTTTTTATAGATTCTTTAGGTGACTGAAGCCACTGTGTTAAGCACTGGCCCCCACAAAACATTAAGAACCAAAAACAGTTTGTAGGACAACATTCTCCCTAAAAACAGCACATACCTGAAGGGTTGACGAAGCAGCCAGGCTCCAAAGCCTGCTGAGCTGAGCAGCAGCCAACAGCAAGGTTTGGTGTTTACATACTACTCAAATCAGCCCTGGGTTGTCACAGCAACTCACCCAGCACAGCTCCGTCCCCTTGGCAGCTTCCTTCCAGGTCTTGCCTTTCTCTGTTATGGTCTTAATGTTTTTGGTAAGCTGGCCTGCTGCATTCTTTTATTTTTCTCCCAATCCCTCCATCTTCTTATCATGTGTTTGCTAGTGTGCAGTAATACTTCACCTGTGTGAAACTCAACAACCTGCACTCCCCCAAAATACACCTGAAAACAGGAGATCACATAAAGGGCCTTTGAGTGGGCAGAACAGATGTCACCAAGCCTATGCACTTAAGTCTATTAGGAAAGCACCCAAGACCTTTTCTCTTACATCTTTTTTTTACACCTTTAAAACAAAGTTTGGGGGGTGGGGGACTAAACAAAATTATGGTTTCTAAGGCCTGCAGTAAAGTAGAAGTAGGGAATGCAACTATTCTTGGCAGGTATACTGAAAGCTCACAAAAGTGAGTATTGGTCCCAAGATAGCAAGGAAAGGGCAGAAAAACTGTAAGAAATGAATACAGGAACTTAGAATTCAGGATAGTGTGGGCCCTTTTAGGGTCAGATCAAATAGTTTCACACACCTCAGTAGGTCATAAAGCCATCATGACTTTACCTTGGAATAGCATGGCCCAGATCACCAACGAAATGTTAAATTATATTCAGCTTAAGGAGGCAGAGCAATGTGTGTTGTGTTTTCTAATTTTGAGCATTCCAAATGGTTAAGGGTTTTAATGCTTAAAGAGATAAACTCTTAGCTGTCCAGAACTTATGAGTTCTATAGATAATTACAATCTACACTATTACACTGTTTTTATTCATTTATAACCCTATTCCTAAAAAAAAATAAAAAGCAAAGGATTTAAGGCTGGGTCTTATTCTATGTACTTTCTAGTACTTGGTTCTGGTTCTTAGCAATACTTGCTGCTAAACTGGTGTTCTGTCCCTGCCAAATTTCTGCCCATGTGAAATGTGTAAGACTTGACCTTATTTCTTTGCTCACTCATGTAACTGTGAAAGGGTCATAGATGTCTCCCTGTTCCTTGAGCTGGTAATCCTATATCATGTCATCTCAGCCAGCTAGAAAATAAACCACAGCATGCTACCTCCTCCCCCATTATATGCTCCATAAACAGAATATCTGGCATATAGTAGGCATTTAATAAACATTTGTCGGGGCCGGCCCGTGGCTCACTCGGGAGAGTGTGGTGCTGATAACACCAAGGCCGCAGGTTCGGATCCCTGTATAGGGGTGGCCGGTTGGCTCACTTCAGAGAGCGTGGTGCTGACAACACCAAGTCAAGGATCAAGATCCCCTTACAGGTCATCTTTTAAGTAAAAAAAATAAGAAATAAAAAATAAATAAAATAAACATTTGTCGAATGAATGAATGAGCCAGTAATCCACAGGATAGCTATAGAATTAAGTACTTGCATGATGATGTAAATCTGATAAAGAGCCTAGTCCATTATGGGAACAGCATTCAAAGAACACCAGTAAATCCTGGCACCAGAAAGATCAAATGGTTGACATACTGATATGTGAAGAACTAGTACATGTAAGTACACAGGCTGTGATAATAAGTTTTTTTTTAAAGGGGGAGGGGGAAAAAAGACTAGAAGGACATAAACCAACATATAACATGATTATCCGTTTGCTTATTCATTTAACAAATAATTGAGTACTTTCTGTATGACACTGTTCTAAGCATTGCAGAATTCAGCAGACTCACAAACTATATTGCCAATGATACACTAACTGCAATTTATAATTTAAAAGCAAGAATTGCAGCAATTATAAGCCATGACCAACTAAAGAACACTAATTATGCAGTGATAGGACAGGTAAGGTGTCCTTCCAAAAACAGTAGGGAGATTCTGATTCTTTGCACATGCGTTAGTGCAGCAGGATTGCTGCCAGGCAAGTTGGCCAGACTTCTTGATGGAACTCTGAATGTGAGTCTGCAGGAAGACCAGGGGATGTGCTCATTTTAGTTTAGGAATACTAAGTGTTAGGAATACCTTTTTAATTTGGTAAACAACCCTTGACCGTGTATAACCAATTCATGACCCATCAGTAGATCACCTGTTGTTCACTCACAGCCCTTAGGCTGCACTCCAACTAACAGCCTTAGGAGACATTTTTCCAGTATACCTAAATGGATCTTATAATTTGATTGATGCCCAGATCTCACAATGTGAGGTGTATCTACACGTACCTTATAACTGTTATATATATGCAGTCAGCAATCCCAGTATGTAGCCATGTTAATTTATATTTATCCTTTTAATAATCTGATAATATTATGCTAACAAGACAGATTACAAAGTATAAAATAGTGCTTCTGGGGCATAGCTAGGTACCCTCAATTCCTTGTATCATTTTTTTAAAAATTTAATTGAGAAAAGTCTTAGCAATGATTAATAGACTATATATGAAACCTAGTTTTAGGACCCAATTTTGTATTGCCTCAATGAAAAATTAATATCTTCCATTCTAAGTTTGTATTTACAAAAAGACTTGACTCTTGGGGGTACTGTTGTTGTCTTCTCTGTTGATGCATATAATGTATACATTTTTCTCTGCACTGTTTCATTCCAGATAAACTTCTAAAACAAAACAGGGATGCAACAGGCACCAGTAACCCCTTTCTATCTTTCTCCCCTTCTAGGTTATCCCTTTGCGTTGTTTTATCGGCATTACCTTTTCTACAAAGACAGCTACCTCATCCACCTCTTCCACACCTTTACAGGCCTCTCAATTGCTTATTTTAACTTTGGTGAGTGAACCAAGTTAGCAGTGAAAAACTGATTAGAGGGAACCTAGGAAGGAACAGACTTGAACAAAATTTCCTTGAGAGAATTTGATGGATAGGGAAGTTATAATGCTCCACTTGCAAAGAGAGGGTTGTAGGGACAGGAAGACAGCTTAGCTTTTCCTTTTTTCCTTTTATGTACATTTTCCTCTAACAGATAAAAACATTTTGAGGGTGGCTACCCTTGCCAGACCCCATTAACAGAGAAGCACCAGCTTCTCTTTGCTGTGCTGTAACTGAATGACAGATCCAAGCAGACCCCACTCAGGATCATTCCTTAGCTCAAACATTCATAAACACAGTAACACCCTGATAACCCCTCATATTTATACAATTAATTTCCATCTCTTCCTCCAAAACACGCGATTATCCTGAAAAAAGATCCTAATACCAGTTTTTGCTTTATGTATTCTTTTTGTAGTTAGAAGTCTCAGGAAGGGTGAAAGCATAAAAACACAATCTAACTTCTACTCTTTTCTCTGCATCCAGGAAACCAGCTGTACCATTCCCTGCTATGTATTGTGCTTCAGTTCCTCATCCTTCGACTAATGGGCCGCACTGTCACTGCTGTCCTCACTACCTTTTGCTTACAGATGGTAAACGTCTTTCCTTAGCAGCTCAGATCACAGCTGACAGCAATTGAGGGGGTGAGAGCAGGTGGGGGAATGTGGTACAGAAAAGGCAGTGAACTAGGAGACCTAATTTCTAACCCCTTCTTCCAACACTTCACGATATGACTTGGGATAGGCCACTTATCACAGGCCCCAGGAGTTTCATCTGCAGATTATAATGGTAACTTTTTACCTGCCTCAAGGAAGGGGTGCCAGCTAAGCTTCTGCATAGGCCTCTGTCGTCAAAGTTCTTTGAGTCTCACCAGGATTAGCCCAGCTGTCCAGGAGGGGAGTCACAAAGGCAAGGAAGAAGATCAACTTAGAATGAGCTGAAGAATCCAAGCATCTAAATTCTCATCTCAGTTTAGCCCTCATTTTGCTGAGAAACCTTGAACAAGTCTCTTCCTGCTACAGGTTCAGTATCTCCATTTGTAGGAATTTCTTAAACTTTTAATGATGGCACCAGGAGAAAGGAAAAAATGAAAGAATACATTGGATTTCAGAGCAGGGAGAAAGTAAAGACCGATAGTAGTGATGGTAGAATAAATACTTCCCCCTCTCCTAGGCCTACCTTCTTGCTGGATATTATTACACAGCCACTGGCAACTACGACATCAAGTGGACAATGCCACACTGTGTTCTGACACTGAAGCTGATTGGTGAGTGCTGGGTCACTGCCTTCCCCCTTCACTTCTAGGCCCCTTCCCCACCTGGCAAAAATTTGCTCGTTACTGTCCCCCTTCACACTCCTGGCTACACTCAGTCCACAGGCCACAGCATCACAGTGTCCTCTCCCCCTACTCTACCCAGTCCTTCTCTCTCTGCTCAGGTTTGGCTGTTGACTACTTTGATGGAGGGAAAGATCAGGTAAGTACCCACTCCTCTGCAGAGAGTTTAGGGATTTAACGACAGGGAAGGAGAAAGGCTGTTGTTACCAAAAGACTGGACCCAAATACCAGGGGCAGAGCCTCTCCCTCATCCCCAGCCTGTGTGATCTCCATTTCAGAAAGCACTGAGTGAGGATCAACAAATCTCATTTTCCCAGGATCCAGCTCCTACACACAATCCAGAGATCAGTGCCAGCAGCAACAGCCACTGTTGCTAAGCTGCCCCCACACCATCATTTCCACACAAAGCAACTATGTTTCATCTCCCCAAAGAGAAGGCTATTTGAAGAATCCCTGTCACTGGGGCACAAGGGTGGGGAACACTCAGACTGGCTTTTGGGGGGAGATTCAAGGCTATCCTGAACCATGCATTCTCTTCTCGGCATAGAACTCCTTGTCCTCTGAGCAACAGAAATATGCCATACGGGGTGTCCCTTCCCTGCTGGAAGTTGCTGGTTTCTCCTACTTCTATGGGGCCTTCTTGGTAGGGCCCCAGTTCTCAATGAACCACTACATGAAGCTGGTGCAGGGACAGCTGACTGACATACCAGGGAAGATACCAAACAGGTAATTGTCCCTCTTGGTCAAGACCTCTGTGTAGATGTCTCACCCAATCCAAAGTCACTTCTACAGTGCCTTTCTTGAAGGCCAGCCCCAGCTGCATTCTCCAGCATGGCCCTGGTACACAGACCTGTGTCATACAGGCCCTGGGCTGTTATAACAGGCACACTGTACCTGCTCCCTGCCAGGAGTGGGCCCATGTCAGCTTAGGTTACTTCCAGCTGTCTGTTCTGACCTGTAGTACAAACATAGTACCAAGTCCCTTATGCCACAAGATTTTACCTGAACCTTTCATGACCCTGCCTTTAAAGCCTATTTTGTCATTTAAATAAAGATTTCTAAATATATAAAAATGAATATAAATATGTCAGTAGAAAATTAAAGAGTTACCAGGAGAATTCCTTTGCTGAGAATTCCAGCCTGTGCTTCAGCATCAACTCAACCAACACAGGAAGGAGCAGATTCAAAACTGGTTATTATTATCTTATTTACGTCGGGTTTTCAGTCCCTGGCGAGACCTTGAGACCAGTAGCATCCCAGAGGGGTAAATATCACAAGACACTGCTCCTCTGCTGCCCTGCCCTTCCTGTAGCTCTTAGAGGTCTGCAGTCACCATTCCTCCAGCCAGCCACGTAGAGATGTCCTTCCCTGAAACAGTACAGACTTTGGGCAGCAGAGCTCCTCATCCCATTCCAGGTGGAGAGCCACACCCTGAAACACTCCTCTCCATAACTGAAGGTCAGAGGGTGAAGGGCATGGACTCTGCCCTCTGTGACCCTGTTTGTTCCTTTCCAGCACCATACCTGCTCTCAAGCGCCTCAGTCTGGGCCTTGTCTACCTGGTGGGCTACACTCTGCTCAGCCCCCACATCACAGAAGACTATCTTGTCACTGAAGACTATGAAGTGAGTGGTTACTAAAGCAGCAGCAGAATGGCTGCACCAGAGGTAGCAAATGGACAGGCAGGGGTCCCTGTAGAGAGCAAAGTAGGTAATACCATCTACAAATGCATGTTGGTTTTGCTCTAGATCTGTGAGAGTTGGGGTCAGTGCCAGCCAGGCCAGGCCATGTTCATCAGCCAGCACTGAACGGGCACAGGGCTGTGCCAGATGCTCTCTTAACAGCCCTTACCTTCCCTAGAGGCAGCTCGTAGCTTGCTTTATTACGTCCAAGTGACTCCTTGGAGCACAACAGCTTGACTCTCCAGTCTGTTTTCTTCTCTTGACTGGTAGATTTGGGGGCTTCCAAGGAATTCACAAGCCAAGGGAGGGGGGAGTGCTGGCTTTTGCTCCTGCCCAGCTGAAAGGTTTGCAACAGTTTCATATCCGTGCTGGGTGTTTCTCTCCTTAAGTTAACATCAAACAGAGCTATGTAAAGTCCCTCTGTAGTTATTGTCCCATGTGCTCAGTACTTCACAAAGGCAGGCAAACAACAGGAGAGTTACGGACAGTGAGCCTTGGGACTCTCCAAGGAAAAGGAGGTGAATGGATGTTTGCTGGGCTCCCCTGCTTATTCCTCAGCCCGTTATAAAGGTGATGAGGCCAGACTGTCAGGGGGACATCTGGCAGCAGGATTTTGACAGATACGAAGTAGCCAGACACAAGTCTGAAGAGGAAGGATGTTAGGGAAAGTTGTCTTGCCTGCACAGCATCCCTAACACACGTGTCCTTTCTTCTCTTAAGAACCGCCCTTTCTGGTTCCGCTGCATGTACATGCTGGTCTGGGGCAAGTTTGTGCTGTACAAATACGTCACCTGTTGGTTGGTCACAGTAAGTAGGAAAGATGAACAGAGTCAGGGTCATAGTTAGACGGGCTGTGGGGAGGTGAGGGGCAGGAACCCTGACTGCGCTGCTCCTTCCCTCAGGAAGGCGTGTGCATCCTGACAGGGCTAGGATTCAATGACTTTGAAGAGGGAAAGGCAAAGTGGAACGCCTGTGCCAACATGAAGGTGTGGCTCTTTGAAACCACCCCCCGCTTCACGGGCACCATCGCCTCTTTCAACATCAACACCAACGCCTGGGTGGCCCGGTGAGCAGCTGGTGGGGAGGTCTGGACCTGGCTCCTTCCTCCCGCTGCTTCCCCAGACTTGAGGGCAGGGATGTATTGTGCCACCTCTCTCCATCTTTCCCACTTGGGATAGAACCTCCAGATACTCCACATACACTTAGGTTTATCCCCACCATTATGCCCCAGAAAACCATTCCTGTCATATTGGAAAAACAAAAGCCAGGTATATAAGTGGCTTGAGTCCTGGCCTTTAATCCCAGTTCTGCCACTGGTCTTATGTTGCTCACCACTCTCGCGTCGGCATCAGGCACTCAGTCATTACCTGCTGAGCCAAGTGGCTTGCCCACGGCAATCCAGCTAGACTTGGGGCTGTTTTCTGTCTACTCCACCACCGCCTTCCATCTCTGAAGTTCATCAGGTAGCACTGCCTCCTGCACCCCCAGTGGCCACAGCTGGGAGCAGCTACCATACCACTCCTCAGCACCAAGAACCCAGAGGCAGATGCTGGGAATGCTAGGACTAGTCAATCTGAGGCTCATTCTTACCTGCCCTCTTCTCTAGTTACGTCTTCAAACGGCTCAAGTTCCTTGGAAATAAAGAACTATCACAGGGACTCTCATTGCTATTCTTGGCCCTCTGGCACGGCCTACACTCAGGATACCTTGTCTGCTTCCAGATGGAATTCCTCATTGTTATTGTGGAGAGACAGGTAGGCCTCCAGGGTGGTGGGTGGGACTATGAAAGGGACAGGACACTGATGACCTCTCTCTGTGCTCCCCAGGCTGCCAGACTAATTCAAGAGAGCCCAGCCCTGAGCAAATTGGCCTCTATTACTGTCCTACAACCCTTCTACTATTTGGTGCAACAGACCATCCACTGGCTCTTCATGGGCTACTCAATGACTGCTTTCTGCCTCTTCACATGGGACAAATGGCTTAAGGTGAGTGAGGGCCTGCTGGCGAGGCTGGGAGGGAATCATGAAACCTCGAGCAGCCAGGGATGCTCCATGCCTTATGTCCACCTCCACGGCCTGTCTCTCCACAGGTGTACAAATCCGTCTATTTTCTTGGTCACGTCTTCTTCTTGAGCCTACTATTTATATTGCCTTATATTCACAAAGCAATGGTGCCAAGGAAAGAGAAGTTAAAGAAAATGGAATAATCTGTTTTTCCCTGGTAAGTAAACATCCTACAGCTAAGCTAAAACTACCAGGCTACAGAACAGAGCAACAGACTGGAAAACAAGATAGTACTGGAAATTTGGGGTGAATTTTAAGGTAGCCTCGCTCCTGAGGAACACAGTATGGAGTACTGATTACTCTAATTTACTGAGGCATTCTAGGAAGAAGCCAGGAGTAACTCTGACCATCCTTCCAATCAAATTTCTTGTCTTGCAGGTGGCCTAGAGCAGGACTGGTGCAAAGACTACTTGTCTCCCTTTTCACAGCACTCCCTCGCCCCAGAGCACAGAGAACAGAAAAGCCAGGGAATTGAAAGACATGGCACTCCCAGCTGTGCCTCTGCTGCCAGCCAAGTCTTCATATGGGGCCAAAGGGGAAACTCTTGTGGGAGGAGCAGAGGGGCCCACGTCTCCCCTCTGGACTCCCCCATGCACGTTGCCTTATCTCTCCCCCTCTACCCAGGAATCTGTTATGTTCTTCTGCCAATTTACTATGATTGTATATGTGCCGCTACCACCACCCCCCCCATGGGGGGGAGGAGAGGGGTATGAGGCCCCGCCTGCTCCACTTTTTCTACCTTGGAACTATACCAGATAAAATCACTTCTGTTTGTTCAGTTTTTCACTGCTAGCATTCCTGATTGCTTTCTTCCAGAGAAAGTTCTCCACGGTTGCCATGGGGCTGAAATAATCAGGGTTCTCTCCTTTAGAGCACAGGAATCTAGGAATCTGGAGCTAAAGCCTGCCTTCAAAGCCAGGAAATAAACTGCGAACTCTAACTGATATCTGTCCCTGGAGTCTGAGGGGGCAATTTGTACCACTAGATACTGCTAAGTTTAGGAACCCCCAAAACAACTAAGTTTATAAAAACCGTATTTATACGGTAAACAAATAGCAAATGTACAGCCTTGGCTTCCCCAAATTCCACAGTCTTGGTGCAGGAAGGTCATCTTCCAGCAGTCAGTTGAAAGCAGGGTCAAGGGGTGCAGCGGCAACAGTCCTCTGTCTCAGAACAAGGCTCTTGCTGTCAGATGACTCCCCACACTTCTTCAAAGGCTGTGGTAAGTTTTGCACAGGTGAGGGCAGCAGAAAGTGGGTAGTTGCTGATGGATACCATCTTCTCTGTATACTCCACATTGACCTAAGGAGAGAACAGGTTTGTCAGCCGACTCAGTCACTGTGGAGCAGGTTCAGCCCTTCTTTAGGGCAGGAAAAATATGGCTGAGCTAACATGTCAACAGGGCTGTTTAATACCATATTTCTACAAAGGATGAAGACAGTCCTAGCTTTGACCATTACAAATATGCCAGCAGTAGTCAAAGGACGCACCCTATGGCAGGATGTGAACTGTTCCTACCCTCCATTCTCAACTTGTAAGAACAAGGACTGCCAAAATGCTAACTCTTGGAATTCTGAAAAATCTAATGGTTCAGCCCAGACCTTACCCTGCCGTGGGCAAAGGCCCCCACCACAAAAACAACAGGGTCACTGCTGGGCACCAATGCTCGCACGTCACTGATGACTGAGATGGAAAAAGAAGTGCCAATCTTCATACATCCAACTGGGAAGTGATCTGACACTGGATTCTTAATTACCTAAAGAAAAAAGAGAAAAATCAGCCCCCAGAAACATTCCCAGAACCCCACCTCCAACCAGTAGGATTCAATACCTTACCTTCAAGAGCTTCTGGGGGCCATCAGCTGCTCGAACACTGAGTTTGTGTAAAAGCTGAACTAGGAGGGGAAAAAAGAGTCAGAGCTAGGTGGAAACCCCACTCCTTCTGCCCAGTAATCTAACCAGAAAAATCCATAGGTAAGATGGGTTCCGTGTGTTCTTTACTTCCAGACTGTACTCCTAAAATGGTATGAACACAGTTGACAAGCACATGACCAGTAGTACAGTGATGGGTTCAGACACTCCCTTTTTCACCCAGCCAGGAAACTCCTACAAGAACAGGAGAGTATCTGCATACACATAGAAAATAGTGGAGAAGAGTCCCTGTGCTGGTATCAATCATGTTGTTCCCCCACCCCCACTTAAAAATTCCACATTTAATCCTCTCTTTCCCTCTTCCTCCCTTCTTCACTACTGCCAAGTTCATTCTGAAGTCCTAAGGCTTCTCACCCATGAGGCCACAAAAGCGGTCAAAGGTTCTGGGAATTCGAGTCTGGGGGTTCACTTCAATCAGCACATTCTTCTGTGTGTGGATATAAACCTGAAGCAAGCCAGCTCGGTTCAGGGGACTGTCCATCAGCATCAGTAAACTCTGAGGAAGGCAGAAAGCAAGGCACAGTTAAGGCTGATGAAGAATTCAGCTGCCTTACCTTCCATGCAAAGGCTCAAAGGGTTGTGAGCTCTGTCCCTAGAGTTACCTGGTGGGCTATATCTGGTCTCACTTCCCCAGGGTCCCGTCCATTCTTCAACAACATAGACTTGTGCTTGTCACAGTTGAGTAACTCGTATGTCTTCCCTACCTGAAGAACAGGGAACATGACAAGAGAGCAACATAAGCTTCTATTTCCTAGTAGGGTGGTTCTCAAAGTGTGGTCCCTGCACCACCACCAGCAGCAGCAACAACAGTGGGAAATTTGTTGGGCAACTTCTCAGGCCCACTCTAGACCTACTAAATCAGAAATGGGGTGACGTCATATGATCTACACTGGATTTAATTTTAAAATCGGTGGCTATTAGGAAAGGCCAGTGAGAGTTTCTGGAACCAGGCCAGAGTTAGATCAGTGAGCAAGGCTGAATGTCTATGTTTATCACAGGAGCAATATGTACGTACCGTTCAAAATACAGTCACTGCCTTCAGTTTGCTTACAAAAAACAAACACGCATGAAGTGAAGAGCTGCACATCTGAACAGAAAGAAGAGCGAAAGGGGCCAGCCCCATGGCTCACTCGGAGAGTGCGGTGCTGGTAGCGCCGAGGCTGCGGGTTCGGATACTATATGGGGATGGCCGGTGCGCTCACTGGCTGAGTGTGGTGCAGACCACACCGTGCCAAGGGTTGAGATCCCCTTACCAGTAAGGAAAAAAAAAAAAAGAGTGAAAATTCTAATGATGCAGGAGGTGGTTTAATCAAGGGATACTTCTCTTGGAATTAAAACAAAAAAGAGGGCTTCCTCCCAGTTTTAAGACTGGCATGAGCAAACGTATAGATAGAATTAAGAAAAAGCAGAAACATGAAAAAGAAAATTTTGGAAAACGGGAACTGGAAGAATGAAAGACAGTGACTATATATGAAACTGCTTTATAAACTGTAGAACCCTCACGTGTCCAGCACAAAGGCAGAAATAATTCTGGAGCATGGGAATGACTGAGAAATGTTATCCTGGCAATACTGTATATATTGGAAAAGACACCAGCTAGAAGTTTGATAATAAAGAGCTGAATTGTATCTGTAGCTGCTAAAAGAATTAACCGCAAATTGCAATTTGGAGTCTCAAGGACCCTCAGGGTAGTCAGTAAAATGTCTAAAAACATAATGGTAAGCACAAATACAGGTTTTGAAAGGCTAAGTTTTTATGTATCACTAGAATATTTGTATATCTCTAGCAACATCTTGAGATATATGGCTCCAAAAAGTTTGGGGGGAGAGGGATGTAGATTTTGAAATTAATTGAATAGTTAAAATAACAAGAATGTTGGGGGGGGACAAGAATGTCACAGGGTAAGTACAAAGAAAGAACAAAGGTCTAAGAACATTGGACACCCGTAGTTACAGAAAAAAAAGAACCTCTTAAATAGAATAATCCAGTTTCAACCCATTAGTAGAATATAACCAGGGTTTTGTTCTTTTAATAGAAAACATCAGAGTACTTCACATATAGTAATGGTTTATGAAAGTTTTGGTTTCATATTGTTGAATGTGTATACTGGCTCACAATGTAATTTTTATTGTGGGTTGTAGTTAATAAGCTTGAAAACCGTTAACTGGAATAATGAGAGAATGAATACCATGTGTCATGACTGAAAGGTATTGGAGATATAGGAAAGAATTTTTAAAACCTTATTCTCTGCCCTCACAGAGACAAACAATAAACAATCACATGAATACTTAATTCAAATTGTGATAAACATTATGAAGTAAAAGTAAGTGGTTCATAAGGATTGTAACAGGAGGACCTGATTTATACCAGGGAGTCGTTCTTCTGAGGAAGTCACATTTAACCTAATAATTGAAGAATAAGTAGCATAATAAAAACTCAATAATTGTTAAATGAATGAACACACAAGCAGGAATTAGTGGGGCAAAGAGCTGAGAAAGGGGAGCTTGAAGTTCGTGAACAATATATGCAATGGCCTTAAGGTATAAGAGAACTTAGTGCTTTCAAAAAACTTAGAGAAGGCCATAGAGGCTGGAGTATTAGGAATAAATGGGAGAGAGCAGGTGCAGATAAGGCTGGTAGAAGCAAGAGGTACCTATACAAGGAAGACAAAAGAACAGTACAGTCTAATGAAGATTTCAACCAGCTATGAATTCTCTATCACCCTCGAAGTACCACTGATGGCAACTTGGCCTAAATTCTTCCAGAGCATGCTCTAGGAATTTTTTTTTTTTTTTTTTTTTTTTTTTTTAAAGATGACCGGAAAGGGGATTTAAACCCTTGACTTGGTGTTGTCAGCACCACGCCCAGCCAGTGAGCGAACCGGCCATCCCTATGTGGGATCCGAACCCGGGGCCTTGGTGTTATCAGCACCGCACTCTCCCGCGTGAGCCACCAGGCCGGCCCTGCTCTAGGAATTTTTTTTTTTTTTTAAAAATGACCGGAAAGGGGATTTAAACCCTTGACTTGGTGTTGTCAGCACCACGCCCAGCCAGTGAGCGAACCGGCCATCCCTATGTGGGATCCGAACCCGGGGCCTTGGTGTTATCAGCACCGCACTCTCCCGCGTGAGCCACCAGGCCGGCCCTGCTCTAGGAATTTTTTTTTTTTTTTAAAAATGACCGGAAAGGGGATTTAAACCCTTGACTTGGTGTTGTCAGCACCACGCCCAGCCAGTGAGCGAACCGGCCATCCCTATATGGGATCCGAACCCGGGGCCTTGGTGTTATCAGCACCGCACTCTCCCGAGTGAGCCACCAGGCCGGCCCTGCTCTAGGAATTTTAATCTGGCCACGACCCTTTCAACTTCTTAATAAATAACCTGGAATAAGTAATAATAACTAACTCCAAGACATTATTCTAAACACTTTATACATATTAACTCCTTTAATCCTTTCAACAACCAAGATAGGTACTATTATTATCCCCATGGAATATACAAAGAAACTAAGTGGTTAAGTGATTTGCTTAAGGTCACACAACCACTAGGTAGAAGGGATATGAACCCAGGCACTCTAGTGTGAATCTACATTCTCAACCACTCTGCTCTGACACAGACATGCTTTTCACATTTGCAAATTACACAATTTTATGGGATAACTAACATGACATATGTCAAAATTAACTTTTAGGCTGGCCTATTTGGCCAGCTAGTTAGAGTGCAGTGTTGATAACACCAAGGTCAAGCGTCCCGATTCCCATACCAGCCAGCCATCAAAAAAAAAAAAAGTTAACATTCAGAGTTAATAACTGGAAAGATAGCTGGCAATTACTGAGGGATGAATATAAGCACTTATAATTAGATTAGAAATACCAATCACAGGGCCGGACCGTGGCTCACTTGGGAGAGTGCAGGGCTGATAACACCAAGGCCATGGGTTCGGATCCCTATATACGGATGGCCGGTTAGCTCACTTTGGGAGAGCGTGGTGCTGACAACACCAAGTCAAGGGTTAAGATCCCTTTACCGGTCATCTTTAAAAAGGAAAAAAAAAAAAAAAGAAAGAAATACCAATTACAGAAGAAAATTAAGAGGAAACCTTCTCTTTGGGGAGATGATCATTTAAAAAAGCTTTTCTAGACTGCAAGCTTAATAAAGTGCCACAGTGGGGCCGGCCCGTGGCTCACTCGGGAGAGTGTGGTTCTGAGACCACCAAGGCCACAGATTCGGATCCCATATAGGGATGGCCAGTTAGCTCATCGGGTGAGCGTGGTGCTGACAACACCAAGTCAAAGGTTAAGATCCCCTTACCGATCATCTTTTAAATAAAAAATAAAGTGCCACAGTGGAGGGAAAACACATGGAAAAGAATCTCACCTCACATCATTGCGAAAACGTTCTACGTTTAAAGGATTTTCTTTACAGCCTCCCTGTGTGGTTCACAGGTATTATCCTCATTTTACAAACTGAGGACGAACTTATTTTCTCAAAATCACACACTTAAAATTTTAAGAACTAAGATTAAAATCCAGGTCTGACTTCTAAAGCAATGCTATTTCTTCTGGGCCTACTCATTTAACAAGTTTAGCTCTAAAGGGTAAGAGAAACAGGAAAGAAGAGGAAATGAGAACACTGCCCAAAGTTTTAAGATAGGAAACTGCTGGGGTTATGGCATTCGGGGAAAGAGACGAATGATAGGTAAAAATAAAGATGTAAAAGTATTAAATGATAATCCGGTCCAGTGTTTCGAGGCGGACAGTAACATAGGGGTGACAGAGGACACCCTTTAACGAACTGAAACATGAAGTCCTATCCGTTGCCGGACACGAAAAAAGACAAAAAGGAAAAAAAAAAAAAAACATGAAGTCCTTATGAATAAAAGGGTGGGTGAACTAGACTACAGTAACCTGCCTTGGTATGTGAGACGAGGCAATGGACGGAACTTCCCTCCACTTAGATGACTATATCACAGAATCCTGTTAATCAATTGGAAGTAAAGAGATGGGGGCTGACATGGTATTCAAGAAGAGCAAAAGAAGATGAGTACTGCCAACCCAGGATGTCAAACCAAGAGACACCCAACTAGGGCACCCTTCCTCCAAAGGCATGTTTCACCTCTCTTTGCTTTCTCCATCCACACTGAGCCCCTCGCCCTCATCCCACGGAGTCCCACCGTATCGACCTAACAGTTCTCCACTTCCTGTTCCGAAGTACCTTGACTGTTTCCAGACTGGCCCCTTCCAGCACCACAATGAGCCTACGGCCTCCAATCTTGCTTCCTGCCCCAAGTCGGGGCCGCTTGTTCGCTGAAGCATCCCAGTCATGTTCCTGCTCCGCACCGCGCCGCTCACGAGGTTGGGACCCATCCCTGGGCGCCGCCATCTTGCAAGCGGACCGACCGGAAATTGCGCTAACGCCCTTAAATTGGAACCTCGCTCACCTCCTAATGGCAACACTTCCCTCCGGCTGCCATTTTGAAAGTGGGCGCTCGGACTTGGCGTTGGCTTGCTGTCTCGCGCTCCCGAAGGCTCCCCGGGAGGGCAAGGTTCCAGAAAGGGGCGGGACTTCCGGGTGCGTGGTTCTTGTGCGCGAAGTTCGGGTCCGCTTGGGCAAGAGGGAGGCTTTAGAAGGGAGCGCACTTCCGGTGCCCTTTCTCCCGCGAGCTGCACGGCCGAACCCTCGTGTGAAGAGTGAGATCCCTAAACTGGAGTGGTGTAGAGGCGGGCCGGCACCCCGTCCTGCCCTCTGGTGCGGCCGGTCTCAGGATCAGCCATGGCCCAGAACTTGAAGGACTTAGCGGGACGGCTGCCCGCCGGGCCCCGGGGCATGGGCACGGCGCTGAAACTGCTCCTGGGGGCGGGCGCCGTGGCCTACGGCGTCCGCGAATCCGTGTTCACCGGTGAGCAACCTCCGCCCGCTCGCCGCACCCCTCCCGTCCCTCCTCAGACCCCAGACCCCCTGCACTGTTTCCCCAGCTCCCCGCGCTCACCTAGCCCCCCACCCCGCCGCACCAGAGCCTAGCACGTACTCTGAGCGGTGGCCTGGCCTGATCCCACCCCTCTCTCCACAGTGGAAGGCGGGCACAGAGCCATCTTCTTTAATCGGATCGGTGGCGTGCAGCAGGACACCATCCTGGCCGAGGGCCTTCACTTCAGGTAATGGCGGGCAGAGCCGACCGACCCTGACCCTTCACCCTTGATGCCGACCCAACGATGGCTATAGTCGGACTTGCGACAGGATTCAGCGCTGCTCTTTCCCCTCCTCGCCCTGGCTCCCAGGACAGTGGGTGTTGCCCAGAATTACAGCAGCACGTAAACTGTTGCTCTTCAAAGGGAGGAGAGTCTCTCCTTGTGCGTGGTCATCGTGGGGAGACTCAGGCCAAAACACGCGTGGTGAGGAGGGAAGACCGGGCAAAGCTAGTGAAACTGAAGTTTGCTGATGCCTATCCCTGTCCTCTCTCCTCCAGGATCCCCTGGTTCCAGTACCCCATTATCTATGACATTCGGGCCAGACCCCGAAAAATCTCCTCCCCCACAGGCTCCAAAGGTAGGTCTAGGCACTTGGGAGTCACGTGGCAGATGCGATAGGTGAAATAAACAAGGGAGCCTGACTAGAGACCCTAGGGAAAGATGGTAGTGTCAGGTTTCTTAGGCCTTGGGTTCCACATCTGCAGGAAAAACTATAACAAAAGTACCTTCCTCCTGGGGTGAATGCAGTACATTCTATACACACGGGTGTTTGCATGGTTTTATTAACCATCTCCACCCCCTAATGTGAACCCTAGGAGAGCATTGTTTATCCTTTGTTTGTTTCATTCACTGTCTAGATCAAAGCCTTGTTTTAACGCCTATTTCCTTTTAATTGCTTGACATTAATTACATCCTCCAGTACACCCTGTCCTGGAGAAGTTTGTCCCTACTCTTTACTAGTGCACCTGTGCCCTCCTAGACCATACTTAGAAGCCATGCCTTTGATATTCCCGAGACCCCTTCCTCATCCCTACCCACACACAAAGTGGTGTTTGGCCTTGACCAGCCACCAGTGCTGACCTCACTCTCAGACCTGCAGATGGTGAACATCTCCCTGCGAGTGCTGTCTCGACCCAATGCCCAGGAGCTTCCCAGCATGTACCAGCGCCTAGGGCTAGACTACGAGGAGCGAGTGTTGCCGTCCATTGTCAACGAAGTGCTCAAGAGTGTGGTGGCCAAGTTCAATGCCTCACAGCTGATCACCCAGCGTGCCCAGGTCTGACTGCCATCACCATCTGCACAGTGTCAGCATTTCCCTCCTAGGCCCAGGGTACAGAGTATTAGGAAAGTCAGCTTATTAGAAAAGGATTGTGATCCTAGTTCCATTTCCACGTAAAAGCTGTACTAGTTGCCACTTTGGGAAATAAGGAGAGCCAGCACTAGAACTTGATAGCAATCAGTGTTAGGAAGCAAGAGAAAAAAATAACAAAGTCTAGACTTTTTCTGTACCTCTTTCAGCGAAGAGGCTTATGTTACAGGTTTGCCTGACAGGAAGCTAAGAAGATGCATATCGTATTGGAGAGAGTAGAGGGTTAGGAGTCAGTGTGACCTGGGACAGTCATATCATTTCTCTGAGGCTGTCTCATCTATCATCTATCAGATGGAAAGATTGAACCAAGTTCTTTCCAATTCATATGTTGTAGTGAGGCTCTGAGAAAGGATTAATGAGCTTTTCCCATTCACAGGAGATCAGGTATTCAGTTAGTCACAGCAACACAACCTTCCTTTCAGTTCTATATTCCCCTCAAACCGCCCCTCCCTTCCTCTCCTCACCCCTGCCCCCAGGTATCCCTGTTGATCCGACGGGAGCTGACAGAGAGGGCCAAGGACTTCAGCCTTATCCTGGACGATGTAGCCATCACCGAGCTAAGCTTTAGCCGAGAGTACACAGCTGCTGTAGAAGCCAAGCAAGTGGGTGAGTCGCAAGAGGAGTAGGGTGAGGGCTGCTGAGAAGGCAGGAGGAAGCACTCCATGGGTGGGGTTCCTAACACCTCACATCTGTGACCCCCTGACTCTCTCCCACCATAGCCCAGCAGGAGGCCCAGCGGGCCCAGTTCTTGGTGGAAAAAGCAAAGCAAGAACAGCGGCAGAAGATCGTGCAGGCCGAGGGAGAGGCTGAGGCCGCCAAAATGATATCCTTCTGCTGGAGAGATCTCAGCCCAGCCCCTGGAGCACCCTGCTTTCCCCTTCTCCCTCATGGGCTGGCTGATGAGACTAAGGCGAATGCGACTCTGTGCTCTCTGAACCTTGGCTCCTTGGCAGAGGGAGGGGGCTACAGATGGGATCTGAAATCTTAGTGGGAGTACCTGAGGCCTGGCTCCCCACTGTAAGGCCAGATCAATAGGACTGCGGGCCTTGCCTTCATTTGTGCTGTTGCCCCAGTTGTTGGCAGCAGCCTTCAGGGAGGCCCACAAGTGGAGACCAAAGTAGGGCTGGGCATGAGCCTTCTGAGCACAACCTTGGATCTGACAGCCCAGAGGAAGATGGGGCCAGGGACTGAAACCTGGCCTTGTGTGAACCCTTAACCCTCCCCTGCTCACCTTGGAGAAGCACTGAGCAAGAACCCTGGCTACATCAAACTTCGTAAGATCCGGGCAGCCCAGAACATCTCCAAGACGGTGGGTGTGAGAGCCTCGCACCTCTCACAGGGCTGCCTCAAGAGTGAAAGTGTTTTCAGTTAATCCACATAAAAGTGAGGGGCTAGAATCTTGGTTATTTGGGTTTCTATTGACACTGGCTTCACTAACACTCTCCCTCCGTTGAGAATGCATCCTCTGGGCCCCCCTGACCTTTTGTTCATGCGACTGTTATGGTACTGGCACACTATAGTCGTTGCTCACTGCTCTGGATCCTTGAGTTAGGCAGAGACCATGTCCTATTTATCATCATATTCCCGGTCCTTACCCACATGTGTTCACTAAGGCTGTTGGATTACAAGGGTAGGAATTGAGGTCTCTGCTTAATGCAGGCGTCTGTCTTGTTTCCTGCCCTGTAGATTGCCACATCACAGAATCGTATCTTTCTCACTGCTGACAACCTTGTGCTGAACCTACAGGATGAAAGTTTCACCCGGTGAGAGATGTGACGGCACAGTTGGGTGTCACAAAGGACGTGGGACTTGAGTCTGGTCACTTAGGCTCTGGAGCCTGTTACAGCTAGTCATGTAACCCTTGAAAGACTATCTAAACCAAAGTTAGAAAAGGGGGTGGTTGATGGGCCGGCCTGGTGGCGCACTGCTACAGTGCGCCGCTTGGGAAGCGCGGTGGCGCTCCCGCCGAGGGTTCGGATCCCACATACAGACCGGCCGCTCGCTGGCAGAGCGAGGAGCGGGGGCAACACCGAGGGTTGCGATCCCATGGCCGGTCCCGGTCCGGTGCGGGCGCGACACTGAGGGTTGCGATCCGTTGCCGGTCACGAAAAAAGACAAAAAGACAAAAAAAAAAAGAAAAGGGGGTGGTTGACAGTTCCTATCTTTTTTTTTTTTTTTTTTTTTTT